CAAAAAGTAACAGCCCAGACAAATAGAAATTTCTTTAGCATTTGATGTAAAGTAACCATGACTGATTAGTAACTGACTGCTTTCCTAAAACTGTATCTAGCATTTCTGTTTTAGTTAGCCTACCGTCAACCTCCCCACACCAGCAGTCTCCAAATGAGACTTACCTTTAACTTCCATTTGTTCTCATATTTCATTACTCTTGCACTTGTCTTTTTGAGTCTTTGCTAAAATGCAAGTGACGATGCCCAATTTGCTTTCAAATCTAATAAATGACTTTGGCTTTTTCACTTATTTAGATTTGGTAGTGCTTTGCCTGGTGAGACAGTAGTAAAAATTCTTGACATTGCTATGTTATACAGAATATGGCAAGGGAGAGTGAACACATCAGGAAAAACTTTTGTATATGTAATTTTCTAATTTGGAACCTACTTAATTCCATGAAAGCTTGTTTTGTGTGTAATTAACAGTTTTTACCTTACACATCACAACACTTTACACTAGATAAGTACCATACTGTCCGGTAATCACCCCGTCTTATACTAAGAAGTTCAAGTTGATTCTCTTACTAGTATAAAGCAATCAAAATTTAAGTAGTATATGATTTCCTTATTTAGAATTCAGACCCAGAGGGTAATACACAAATTCCCTGTACCTGGACTTTGAGTCAGTTCAGTAGTATTTTGAAAAATTATTAGTATAGTTTAACTAATTATTTTCCTAGACATTTGAGGTTGTCAAAATGCATGCCAAATCTTAATGATTTCATAGTTTATCTAAGGAAATAGTACAGGTAGTATTTAGTAAAGATAAAACATTTTAAGTAAATTATTTAATGCAGCATAGGAAGATATCCTTGTCCTAGGAAAGGTCCTTGAGGGTAAGGAATACAGAGTATATCTAAGAAGTTGATGCTTTATCTGGAATAAAAAGGGCAGGTCTACCACAGAAGGGGATGTCTGAGCAACTATTGAACATATACTACACTTCTATTCAGTCATACATCTGGCAGAAAAAGGTGCTTCAGAAGAAAAACGTTAACAGCAAAAGCTATGAAATGTAAGCTGGTTCAACTAAGCACAATGGAACATAGAGGCCATCATGGCTGGAGTAAGGAGATGATGGTAAATGAGGAAAGTTTTATATATATATATATATATATACACACACATACATATTCAGAGAGAGAGAGAGAGAGAGAGAGAGACCATAGCATGTGTGAAATCTACAAATATTATTACGATAAAAGTGAGAAAACATGGAAAGACTTAGAGCAGAGGTGTGAGGCAGTGAAATTTGTTTCTTAAGTTAACAAGGAGACTAAATATATGAAGGATAGAGTGTTATGGTGGTCTGAATAAGAATAGTTACTCATTGTGCCATGTTGATGCCCATGGCCTGTGTTACTACTGAGGACCATGTTGTTGTCTGTGGTCCATGATACCATTGAAGGACATAATCTGTGCTGCCACCTGAACCCATGTTGATGTCTGTGAGCTTGTCTATCACTGAGGGCCATGATGATGTCTATGGTCTGTTCTCTCCTCATGTAGAAGGCCATTATCCATTCTGCTGCAGAATGTAAAAGGTTAGAAAGCTTATTTTGCAGTGGCATTGATGACTGCTTACTCATCATCAAGAATGACAGACAAAGTTTCTGTGGCAAGTTTTCCCCTGACATCCCCCACTTCCTCCCTCCAAAAAAACATTCTAGACATGAAGGCATTGAAAAGAACTCTTAAATATTGTGACAGGGATGCTGAAGCATAGCTTGTCACAGTTGATGACTTCTGACCCTGTGCTCACAAATATGGGGACATCCACTGGAGCCTTGTCAGCCTCCCTGTGGTGGAGCATGCAAAGAATAGGAACTGTCACTCCCACAACCATGTGGCCAATAGCTGTTGACCTAGTTGTGGGGACACAGTAGCCCCTTCCTCATACATGCGTGAATGTAAATGACTTGATCTTGCACAGTTAACCACAGCGGCTGTGAGCTCATATGTACACCAGCCATTTCATGTCCAAAAAAACAGTATTTCATAGCTCTTTACAATCCTTAACTCTTGCATTCTGTCCATCCCTCTTTTCTGAGATTTGCTTATGCAGGTTGATATAGATATATCATCTTTGCCTGAGCATTCACAGTGGTATATTTTCTCCTCTTTGGAAAGGTATGAGTCTCTTCACTAATTACTGTATACTTCAATAAAATCATGAATCTGATCAAGGCTGAAAGTAGCAAAAATCTATGGACTAAAAACAAATATTTAGTAGGATTGTTAAGATGATCATTTAGAAAAATAACAACAGTAGATCACCACCTTATCCTCTGCAGGGCCTATGTCCTCCATAGCCATGGTTTTTGACCATGTTTTCCATATCATATACTGATTTTTATTGAGGATGATAAAGTACAATCCAGAAAACAGTTGGTTACAACCATAAACAGTAATAGAATGATTGTCCCACTGAGCACATCTTGCTGGCCACTTGGTATATCATGAAGGATCTAGTGCTGAGGATTTTCTTCCCCAACTGTCAATACAGCATTTCCAAGAACAATGAATGCCACAGAGCAGAGAGGAAATTCCACATCATTTCATAATTGATTTGTTTATGTTCTGAAAACAAACTATGTGATACCTTCTGCCATAGTGTCTTAGTATCTACTTATGGTGGGCTACACAAAGTAGTAGCTATAATCGTGTTGCATTAGGTGTCTCTGGGGGTCTCTCAGGCTAATAACTCATAGAGAAGTAACTTGTTATTAGCACTGAGATTTGAATTTAGTAACCCACATCTTTTGGGAACACTGATGTCACTCATTTTGGATACCTCTATACAAATTCCTTTAAAAATATTTAGTTTGTCTTTTATTTAAAGTGTAAAATTTCAAAACTTCACATTTTAGTTTGTCTTGTATTGAAAGAATTATACCACATTCCATCCATTTCCCCTCTCTATTCCCTCCCAGGTATCCTCTCACCAAACCTTCCCATATCCCCACAAATCTCAAATTGATAGCCTCTTTTCCTTTGATTTGTGTGTGTGTGTGTGTGTGTGTGTGTGTGTATGTACTAAGAAATATATAAATTTAGCCTGCTTTTTTTGTTGTGGTTGCTGTTTGTGTATACTTGTTTTCAAGGCTGCTTCCTCTCCATTGGTTAACCAGTAATATTGCTCATTCAGTTAGAAACTAATTCTCCTTCCAGAAATCCAAAAGTGCCTATAGTTTTTGTATAGGGGTTGTACCCTGCAAAATTTTCCATTCAAGAGGTTCTTGCACAAAAGAAATACTGTTACTATTATATATAATTACATAAACATATATGAATACATATAAAATTATATATATACATATAATTTATTTCTATACTTCTACTAGTTACTGAGGCACTGTATATGGAGCAGATGATAATACCCTAAAAATTTCTCAATAATTATTCCTTTCTATAAATATAGAGATAGAGTTATCTTCACTCAGGTGGAAAAATATTAATTGAATCCGTATTTGTATAATATTTTGAGTATCTACTAGAAGTTCAGGTGCTTGCCATACTCAGAAGTTAAACATATAATTTAGAAGATGTGATGTATTTTTAAAAACTTCTCCTTTGTCAATGATGTTATTATTGGTAGAAAACAAAAAGCAATGACCAGAAAAATAATTATAAAGAATAGAAATTGAACACTGTCAAATAAAGTAAGTGAGAGATATTAGTTTTGATCTAGAAAAATGAGGGTTTTTTTTGTACAAATTTACCTATATTTAGATACGATTAACTTCACATATGTGGGATTACATCATATATTCACTAGTAGCATTCTCAATGCCAAAATATGATGAATTTTGATAGATTTTCTATATATTCTATAATATTTCTATATTTTCATTTAAATTTCCACTGAATACCTTGTATGGGTGGTTTGAATGAGAATGCTCCACTCTAAGTGGGCTCCTCATATTTCTTTATATTTTTTTACCCAGATGTGGAACTGTTTAGGAAGGTTTAGGAGGTGTGGACTTGGAGGAGGTGTATCACCAGGAGGGGCTCTGAGTTTTCAGATGATTTGTGCCATTTTTCAATATGCTTTCTGCTTCTTAGTTTTGGACCAAAATGTGAGCACTCAGCGGTCTTTGTTCAAACATCAAGAGCTATATAACCCTCTGAAACTGTAAGCACCATTATATGCTTTTTTGTTATGAAGTTGCCGTGGTAACACAGTTGTGTCATAGCAATAGAAAAGTAACTATTACAGTTTAACACCAAAAGTAGGCACATCTGCCTTACAGCTATAATGTATATTGTACTAAGTTGGATTTATTATTTGAGATACAGTTGATGACAAGTTTGTGCTGTTTCTTCCTACTTTGCTGCCTGTTGTGAACTTTTCAGACACTGAAGTAAAAGTCTGCCACCATCAACCATAATTTAAAGGCTGATCTGAGAGACAGAACAAGGAATCCTGGTAGTTAATTACTGTCTTGAATTATGCATGTCACAACAACTCTGCCATCTACTAAAACTTATGCAGTAGAAGAAAGAAAATGATTGTGTATGCCATAGAATTTATTAGTCTTCTCCTTATTGTCCTACTTGAAGTGGAATAAATTCAAAAATATAACCAAATACTGTCTCTCCTTTACTGTACAATAGTTAAGGAAAGTAAACATTTGGAACAAAATCCATGCTATCAGTGAAATAAAGAATATATGTTAATTGGTCATAGCGGAAAGCCAACAAAAGTAAAAACAGTGGGGGAAAGCAGTTGACATTGGGCAAAATCACATATGGGGAACTTAGAATCAAACTCTGCTATATATTTAAAAGAAAAAATAGGGAAGAATGATATTAAAATAATTGATTCTGTGCCTAGGAATATGTTCCAAAAATATGTGGAAGAGCCTAGTATTTCTCTAAACATATTTACAGACTGACTCTGAAAGACAGAATTCATCTTATATCCTTTACTTTCTTCTTTAAAGGTAATATCTGCTTTAAGAAATTTGGGTTAATTCTCCAATTAACAACACCATACTCATTATTGATGAAGCTCGGGCACAGTGCTCCAAAACTGATGATTCTTCCTCTGTTCCCCCAGGAGAATTTGTATTGTCCTCGGAATGCTTTGGAAGTAATCTGGCAAAATAAAAATCAAGGTAAATTTATTTCAAATAAGAAACACCATACTGAATAATTAAATTTGACCTTTATTGGTGTAGTATCTGAATTAGAGTTCCAAAATTTACGGTAACAAAGATGTTGATGTCATTAATCCTGCTCAGGCCTTTACTTCTTTTTACCTGCTAGCTTAAATCTCTTTCAAAAAATAATAAAAATAGTAATCATGAGACTGCATGCTTCCTGCTTGGCTCCTAAAAGTCTGGGTAAAAATGTAATTCCTACACTCTTAAGCAGCAAGTCAAAATAATACCCTGCAAACAAATGTAACCAACCAAGCAGGAAAATTAACTTTCAACCATAATAATAAAAAGCACTCAATAAATTCACTGTTTATACATCTGAACACAATTATCTAAACTCATTAATAAATTAAGAAAGTCATTTTTTAAATTTAAAGCAAAAAAGTGATGTTTTCACATGTATACTTTCAAAACACACTTTGTAATAAAGCTACAGCAGTTTTAAAGAAAGATAATCACTACTAAAACTTCATGTTTATTATTTATCTACAGCTAACTAAATTTATAAATAGATTCACAAAAGGAAAAATTAAGTCATGGATTTTTACCTTGATATATAAGAATATTATTGAATTATTAAGCCAATGTTTATACTTCACAATACTTGAAAAAATATTCATGCTGGAAATTAAACATAAAATTCATTATATTTTGACTTATCCATCAGCTTTGCTAATTTCTGAATTAGAACTCAGTTACCAACAGAAATAATTAGTTGTCTGTTTAAGACAATCAATTATAATTCATAAAATATTCAATTACTCCATATTATAAGGGTTTTTCCTAGAAACTAGGAATAATGGATTGAAAAAGCTGTTATTTCATCTGTATTAAATGTTATTAAACAATACATATCTTACCCAAATCAAATTATTTACAAGCTATTATTTTAATTGAATAATAATTCCTCAATGCTAATAAATATTATACAATTTTCTATTATTATTTATACTGTCATTGTTTATTATGCACCCTCTTTTTTGCATGAAAGACAGTATCTGTATGTCAATCACAGACCAATTAATATAATAATCGTAATAAAGGCTAGAAAGGTGGCTTAGCATTTAAGACCATGTACTGTTCTAATAGAAGTTTGGTTCCCAGCATCGTTGTAAGGCTACCACAACAACTTGGCTTCACCCCAGGTGAGAAGACTTACTCTTATTCTCTTCCACTTGTGGGTACTATAATCATGTGCACAAACACACACACATACAGGAATACATGTACTTGTGGTTAAAACTAAAGAATAGTATATTAAAGTAATGAATTGTATGCAACTTAGCTTAACTGGCATTGATATATTTTATATAAAATATTGTTTTAATAAGGAATATTAACCTGTGCTTTGGCTTCATTCCTGTTGATCACAGTATGGTTAGGAAAGCTTTGCAATGAAATCAAACATTTTATTGAATTGACATTTTCTTCAATTGTTAGTTAAATAATGGAGCTGAATTTATACAGACACTCATAATTTAGTCAAAATAATATATTGTTTCTCTATATGTGATTAAGGAATACTGATTAGTTATTAAATTAATTAACAACAGATCTAGTTGTACATGTCAGTCTCAAGATGAGTAAAGCAAGCAGGGAGGACAAATAGATCTCCCTGTGAAGTGGAATAGAAGATTTTTGCAGGTGGACTGAGGATAGGTGGAGATTGGAACAGGAGGGATTCCATGTTGGGGGAAGGTATGGAGGGAGAGAATGGGGGCTGAGACAGCTGGAATTGGGGGTCACTTGGAGGGGCAGGATGGGAACCTAGTGAAGTAGAAACTTTATGGAAGATAAGAGAGTGATGTGTTGATATATCACTTGTAATCTAAGAAATAGAAGCTTGCCTGAGGATCATAGGACAGAGCTAGTAACAGATTTAGCCTTAGAGGTCAGGCAGTGGTGGCACATGCCTTTAATCTTAGCACTGAGGAGGCAGAGGTTGAGATCTGTCTGAATCTCTGTGAGTTCAAGGCCACTCTGGGCTACAAATTAATCCAGTCTAAAAGAAACAGCCAGGCAGTGGTGGCACAGACCTTTAACTCCAGCACTTGGGATCACACAACTTTAATCTAAGCATTAGGAATGTTGAGACAGGAAGTGATATGACTGGGCAGAGAAAGGAATATAAGGAGGGAGGAGACAGGACCTGAGGTCTTTTCAGGCTCTTGCAGGCTGAGGAAGTTGGTGAGTTAACAGGTGGCTTGCTTGGCTTCTCTGATCTTTCAGTTTTCACCCTGATATCTAGCTCCTGGTTTTTATTAAGAGCAATTAGAATTTATGCAACAGAGTGACCCTGATGAGGACTCCTAGTAATGGAGGAAACTGAACTGAAATGACTATCTTTTGTAGTCAGGCAAGGCTTCCATTGGTAGGCCTGGGTTGCATTTGGCTGAGATATTGGATGAGGTGGTATTATGAGGATCCATAAACAACCTAGGCTGATTCTAGAACATAATGTTTCTCTCTGAAAACTGACAGTACAGCCCCATTTTGGAGCACAACATCCACACAGCTCACTGAATGTAAAAAGGTCAAGCTGGTGCCTGCATGGATCCCTCACCCCAAGTACATTCTAGTCTCTTTGGTGTGGGAATGTATTCTGCAGGCTACTGGAAAAGAAACCTGGGCCCAACCCTACTCCAAAACCTTCAACCTACAATCTGCCCTGCCTGCAAGTTGTGCTGGGGCAGTGGTTGAATAGAACTTGTAAGAGTGGCCAACCAAGGTCTGGCTTAACTTGAGTCCGAAGCCATGAGAAAGAGCCTATGATGGACACTGGGTGAACGGTGAGGAATCAGAGATTGGATAATCCAGAGACCTAGTGTAGAACCAAACACAATTAGAAAAAAAAATGATGATAAACTTCAAGAATGAGCATAAAGGTATAAGGGTTCACTAATGTTCCTTCATATCACACAACTGATAGTTTTCTATTCAAATCAATGAAAAGATTCCTAATGATAGTCATCTATATTCATATATCAGTGCCTTGTTCAGTCATCATCAGGGAGGCTTCCTCCAGAAGCAGATGGGAGTAGATGAGAGAACCAAAGCCAGACATTATGCAGAGAAAGAGTATAAATTGGAGGTCTCCATCCTGGTGGCTGAAAAATGGGTTCCTGTTTCCTCTGGGTTACTCTTTGTTGCTGTGGTGAGAAAACACTTTAAGAATGAATGAAAATTCCTGGAAAGAAGCACATCTTGCATGGAACTTCAACAACACTGATTAATTAATTAGAAATTCAATGAGTGTGGAGAGGTTGTAAAGTTGACCCTATTATAATTTATCATGGTTAATCTTCAGCCTTCTCATTTGCCAGTTATTTCCCACTTCTGTATAACCTAATATCCTATGGCTACTTCATGAAAAATTTTGAATGTATTATCTTAGGATATAACTACTGTTCACTAAGCTAAAAACTAAGAATGTCATCAGATATCTTTTGTGGTCTATGATAGAGACTTCCCTGCTTAAATTTAATGTGCCTGGCTAATGAGTCCACCAATGTGTTGGAAATAGACAAACAAACCTTGATTTATGACTTTGTTTTTTTAAAATGTTACCATTTGGGAATGAAGAATTTGGGATTTCCTGCAATCTATATTCTTATGGTTGGTTCTAAAATAAACTATCTCATCTTATTATGAGGGTTGTCACTTTACATAGGAAACATACTGCAAGCAAGACTTGTGCTAAGTAGAACGGGCAAATGTGGGTATTTCCATCTCCAAGGTCTTAAACTTCATTTCTCTACTAGATAAGTGAATGATTAGCACAATAAATACCATAGCTAGAAAATGGTTGTGGCATGAACTTATACAAATGGATACAAGTCTGTGTTGTGAGAATTACTGTTATGATGAAGAGGAAAACAGAAGAAATTAAAGTAGGAAATGGAACCCAGATTCTGAAAAGAGGAACAAGATGATCTGTGTGTAATGGGAGTAGAGATCTAGATCACAAAAAGTATTTGCAAGAAATTCAGCAAGACTCAGCCCCACCTTCATGCAGAATGGTTTGGATTAAAGAGTTTACACCTTTGAGCTGTAAAATATTCTCAGAATTCTTGGAACTCCTTCCAAATTAGGACACAAAACAAATTTTATCAAATTAAAATTACTTTTTTATGCTATCAGAGTATAATACTATAAGACTGGAAAAATAGCACCAACGTAAGTGACATATTATGTATAAAACAAACAGATTGATTAAAGTAGACATCAATCTAATGGACACCAAAACAATACAATAAAAGAATAATGAAAGAAAATATTTGGTCTTATAGAAGACAAAAATGATTCACAAATGCTCCACAATCAATAAAGTTAATAGAGAAAATGGATATATTACAACTGAAATCACTTAAATATGAAACATCTTTAGGGAGTTATTTGAAGAACTGTTTTTCAGTAAATTAGAAAATTGGAAAGAATTCACAAATTTCTAAACATATATAATCAATCCAAGTATAGCTAAGAGGATATAGGAAAAAATAAGATCTGTGATTAAAAAGAAAGCAGAGGCAGTCATTATTTCCTAAAAGGGGAACCTTTTGAGCAGATAGAGTCACTGCCAGCTTTTACCAGCCTTTCAAAGAATTAACATGAGTGTTCTCAAAATTAGGCCATAAAACAAAGAAAATGGTTATTTTCAAACTCATGCTGCAGGTCAAATGAACACAGTACCAAGACTGGATAAGGATATAAAACAATGACAACAGGAAGCAAAAAAACTTTATAATGGATTTCATAATAATCATTGTTAGAGAAAAATCCTCAATAAAACATTTCAACTATCTCAATAAAACTTTAGAAAATCTCTATGCCAGGATTAATAGGATTTGTATCCAAAACACTGGATTGCATAACAAGTACAAGATAATAAATATAAGAAAACACATAAATATAATAAAGGACTAATATCATATGATTTTCCTCTTTGTGACAAATTC